GACCACAACCCAATGGTGGGGGCAGAAGGGATGCGGGATGCAACAGCTGGACCAGACGGGGCGAAATCACCGAGGGATGCTTGTGGGTCTCCCCTCCATGAGGCCCTGGAGCCTCCGCTCTTCTCCCAGGCATCAGCACTGCTGTGGGTGTGGGGGTGCCAACGCACCTCCCTGCTTATCTCCTCCACCGCTGCTGCGTGGGTGGCCGTGGCACGCGGGGGGAGCGGGGTGGGTGCCTCCCATCCCTCCCTCCTCCCAAAAGCAATGCCTCTGGCTCAAATGTTCTCCTGCTGGAGGTACCGGTGGAGCTGCAAGGAGCTCTCAGCCCGTGCCCCCCAGGAGCAGGGAGGTGGTGGGGGGCTAGGGCAGAGCCCGGCGCTGGTCGGCAGCTGCTGCTGGGGGCTGGCGGCTGCGGCGCGGGTGGGAGGAGCACCACGGCAGGTGCCAAGGGCTGGGAGGCTCGCTTGCTAGGGCTTGTTCATGGCACGTACTCCTCAGCGGGGCCCAGGCTAAGACCCAGACCTTGGATCCCATTTCCTAGGAAAAATGCAGTGAAGAGGGTAATTTTTGTATTTTTTTTTCTTTTTTTTTTTTTCTTTTTTACCCTTGACCAGTTGCTGAAGGTTTGGGGATGGAGCCGCATGGGGGATGCTGGGGGAAATGCTCAGAGGGGTAGAAAATATTTGGCCAGAGGTTGTGCCAAGGCACCTTGAGCTGTAGTATACCAAGTCAAAGGCTACCTAATCTTGCATTTTAATAGTCCTAAGCGAGTTTCCCCTGCTCTGGGACTGGGGAGCTTTAACAAACAGGTTGCTTTTACAGTACGAGGTCAAAAGAGAGGGGTCCCTTGAGGAGCCTTTGTCCCAAGACACGGGTCACCCTCCGACGGGAGGGACCTGCTGTGCAAAATGTTACTAGAAGAGTCTCTTAAATACCTAGAAGAAAACACGATCATGAACGAGCCCTCGCTTTCTGGGCAGCGCTTCCCAGTTAACGAGTTGGCGAATGTTTTGCCAGCTGATCTCACGGACCACTGGGTTTCGCTCGGCTCTAACCAGCCTCCCTCAACGATGCTTTCCAGCTTTTAATGAGATCGGAGGTTACCCCAACCTGGAAGAGGCCTATTTAAGAGCTGTGCCGTCCAAGATCGTTCCCAACACTACCTGCCACCTGCCCAGAGCAGATGCAATGCACCTCTTCCGAGATCCAGTCTCTGGAGATCTGCCCTGGACCGGGATGATTTTCGGGCTGTCTATCATGGCCATGTGGTACTGGTGCACCGACCAGGTAAATGTAAACAAGAATCCCCTGCCCCATGTAACACGGCGTTGCCTGGGGTCCAGGCACGCTCTTCTACCGCTCTTGCCCTGGAAGTCCACCTGCATCAGTGCCTAGTGGTCCTTCTGCCCGGTGGTCTCGGCGGGCTTCTTTTTGGAGTCAGTAGAAGCGCCCGGGGCTCCCGCAACCCTGTTCTTGAGGTGCTTGGACTGGGACAGTTTAGAGAGCGGGATGCCGAGGGGTGTCCTCATCTCCTCGGTTGTCTTCTGGCTTTCCGGCAGGGAGGTTAAGCGTTTGCTTGATGTTCTGGGGTTGCTGGGTGAACGGTGGCCAGGCTGCGTGGGCTTGCTGGGGCTGAAGGCTTTGCTCTGCCAGTAGGGTTGGCTGCCTGCAACGGTCTTTTTGGGTTCAGCTCCGTCTCCTCTGTATTTGGTGGCCCCGGCGGATTTCTCATGCGTCGGGGAGCAGGAGACCTCCTTGCCTTGCTCTCTGCCTGCGGGGTTCCTGGGTCGGTAGCGGTAGATGTGCGTCCCCTGTTTGTTAAAGAGCAGAGAAAGAGATGAGCTGCTGCTGTCTAGAGATGCTGTTCCCCTGCAAGGATGCCCCTTCGCATGTCTGTGCCGTGGACTTGGTCCTCATGGACAAATCCCTCTGCCACTTGATGTACTGCCTGGCCCAAATCCTTCTGAGAGCAGTGGCAGCTCAAAACCATCTCAAGTCTTTACCATGGCTGCTCCTCTGATTTCTTGCTCTAGCAATGCACTGTCCTGCACGTTGCAGCATCTCAGCAGCCATTTCCTGAGCATCCCTGGCAACCCGGAGGCTGTCCCGAGCCGAATCATAGAATGGTTTGGGTTGGAAAGGAACCTAAAGATCATCTAGTTCAACCCCCCTGCCATGGGCAGGGACACCCTCCACTACACCAGGTTACTCAAAGCCCCATCCAACCTGTCCTTGAACACTGCCAGGGATGGGGCATCCACAATTTCTCTGGGCAACCTGTTCTGTCAACAAGTCATTGCTGCCCGGAGATCCAAAACCAAGGATGCCAGAAGCATCTCAACACCTTCTCTCCAGGAGCAGCCTGAACACCCATCTTAATCATCTAAGCGCTTGTTTCAGGCCCAAAGAGCATTCAGTCATCCAGCCCCAACCTGTGGGATTAGGTGGCTACTAAGGTTAGATGAAAGGATGGAGGGTTGGGAGAGGAGGTGGGATCAGGAGACAACAGTGAGCTGCAACACCACTGCGGGGGTGGCTCTAATTAGCTGGGTTGAGAGTCACATTTGGATCGGGTCTGAGCACCATTAATCTTAATTCTGGACTGGGTAAGGCCTTGACACACAGCTGTGGTCACCAGATATTTATCTTCCTCTTTGGGTGTGTCTGTGCCGCAATCCAGAGGTGTGATTGCACCCCGTGCAGACGTAGTCGGGCGAGATGGGATCTGGCGAGTGCAGGTGCTGGTGGCAGGATGAGCTGGGGCCAGGAGGCTGCAGAGCCGGCTGCACCAACGTGCAGTACCACCAGCAACACCGCATCTCCGCCATGCTGTGAGCAGCATCTCAGTGTTCAGTCATTTAGTCCGAATATCCCAGTGGTCCTTGAGCAGACACCTCCTTCTCTGACCAGGAGGGCCACGTTAAAGCAGTTTAACTTAGGTAATGCCAGATTGATTTAACTAGATTGCTTTAAATCGGTGCTGAGGTCTGAGATGTCTTCAGGTGGGGAGGACTAAGGGTCATTTAGCTCCTGTCCCTTGGAGGTCATCACGTGCCTGATGTGGTGCAGATGGTGACTGAGCTGGGTGGTGGATCCTGCAGCTCTGGCTCTCGGGCAGAAGTTAAATCACAGCTTCCCTGAGCGTGCCACGCTGGCACCCAGTCCCTCCTGCCCACCATGGCATGAGCCAGTGCTCGTTCAGGAGCGGCTGCATCCTGCTGGGCACTTTTCTGTAAGCCCTTGGGGAGAGTCTGGGCTCTTTTAAAGTCAGCATATCCTATGGATGTTGCCTGTTTAAAAGAGATCATCTCAAAGCCCAAGGGTTGGTTGTATCATGGATGGACATGGCTTGGCCAGAGCTTTGAGGTGCGATGGTTTGAGCTGTGTGGGTGGTGGAGTAGCAGTAGGAGGAGACTGGACTCAGTGTCCCTTTTATTGTGGGCACTCTTTGGGGAGGAGATCGAATAGAAGGGGCAAGAGGGGAGAGGATGGTGGTGGGGAATGGTTGCTGCTGGTGGGAGGTCACGCTGCTGTGGTTGCACTGGGCTTTTGTGGTGCTATAACACAACGCCAACGCATTGCTGGTCTGGAAAGAAACCCAGCCTGTGGCTTGGGTACACATCCATGCTGCGTTTGGACCTAATGCTCAATGGCTCCAGTGTTTGCAGACACTTGGGATGCGGTTTGGGAAGGAGGAGGCTGATGTGGAACAGGAGGTGTCGGAGGCTGCTCAGCCACCCAGCCTGGCTCTCCCACAGGTCATCGTCCAGCGATCGCTCTCTGCCAAGAGCCTGAGTCACGCCAAGGCCGGCTCCATCTTGGCCAGCTACCTGAAGATGCTGCCCTTGTTCGTCATCATCATGCCGGGGATGATCAGCAGGGTCCTGTACCCAGGTAAGGGCCCCGCCGCGCCGCCACGGAGCTGGCAGGGTGGGTATTTTCCCTGTCACTACGCCATGAATGGCAGGAGGGATTGTCTGGAAACCCCTGCATGGACCTGGGAGCAGAGGGACAGGAGAGGACCTCAGTGTCTCCAGTTCTCCTTGTGCCTGCTGTGCATCAGCCAATGCTACTGTCCTCCACTGGTCACGCAGCCAGGTGAGAACAGGGTTGGGTGTGTTTAGGCAAGGCATCAGGGATCCAGGGATAACTTAGGTGCTGAATGCGATGGAGAACACGTGGCTTGCCCCGAGTGAGCCCCCGCCTGCGTTTCGGGCTACGCCGGGCCAGCACGTAAGAAATGCGGACCCAGAATAAAAACATTCGGTGAGGGTCAATGGTGACTCCTTTGAGGTTCCTAGAGAGTTAATCAAGGATTGCTTTGGTTTATCATTATTACACATTGGAGAGACTATTCTCTGCGTTTTTCCATCATCCGAGCGTTGGCTTTCCTCACCCTGACGGGATGTCAATTATCCGCCTTGCATCAAAGGGCCAGAACAAGTTAATGGAGGGCCATCGACGTACCTGGCCACTCTGAGCAAGGTGGCAACCAGGAGCTGGGTCATAGAGCATCAAAGGGCTCATTGCTCCTCACCCTGCATGGCTCTGCAGGCTGCGAGGGGATGTTTGGTGTATGAGGATTAAAACACTGCTCTGAGCTCCGTGTCACTGGCTGGGAAGGGAGAAGCAAGTGGACTGTGGGCTAGTAAATTTAATTTCCCCATAAATACAGATTAGGTGCTCAGCTGGGGTAATCTCAGGTGGCTTCAGCGATTTCAGCTGCTGATTCAGCCCTGAGGGTCTGAATGCCCCAAAACCAGTGGGTGGGGAGCCTTGAGAAACCAAAACGGTTGGTAGTGGTGCAAGAAGCTGCAGTGTTTGAGCAGAAATCAGGAGTTGACCCTGTGATTTCCCTGCCTGGATGGGGCAATGCTCCCATCGTGGTGGGGATGGTGATGTGCACCCCATGGTCTTGCAACGGGGTGATGGTGTGCATCCCATGGTCTTGCAACGGGGTGATGGTGTGCATCCCATAGTCTTGCAACGAGGTGATGGTGTTCACCTCATGGTCTTGCAACAGGGTGCTGGCTTGCACTCCCATGGTCATGCAGCGGAGTGCTGGTGTGCACCTCATGGTCTTGCAATGGAGTGGTGATGTGCACCTCACGGTCTTGCAACGGGGTGCTGGCGTGCACCCTGTGGGGTGCCAAGGTCTGGCATCACTCGTGGGTCAGCCACGAAGCTGCTGACTGCAACGCTCGCCCACAGAGGTTGCCATCCCTGTTTCTCCACTCTCTTGCTCTGCGTAATTATGTGTCCGAGTGCTTTTACTTTGATGCTAATCACCTTTGCAAGGAGCTAGAAAACAAGTCTGAGAGGGACACGCCTGCACGCGCAGTCTGTCCCTGGCTGGGCATGGTGCCACTGCTGATGGGCTTTGGGATGGAGCCGTTGGTCTCCATCCCGCAGCCCAATGCCATAGGATAATCTTTAATTCCCAAAAACCTCCCCTTTACCAGCCACTCCCATTGCACTCTCTGACACCAAGACCTTCAGCATGGCCACCACCTTCCTGACCAACAGCACCTCTTGGGTGACTCCTACCATCACCGCATATAGGGCGTTATTGTCCCATCTGGGAAGTCTGATCTCAGCATCTAGGACATGACACCAAAGCTAGGGATGACACCACGCCTTGAATGAGCTGGCTGGGTCACCACCAGGTTTGCAACCTCTGTAGGGTGGAGAAACTTAGGGAAGGTTATAGCAAAAAAAAAAGTCCTACCTGCGCGGCACTGCTGGGGTAGGAGCTGTTGCCATCCAGGATGGTGCGGGGCAGCACACACCTAATCTCCACGGCATTGCTCCTCCTCTTCGTCACGTCCTCCATGCGGACGTGCTTCAGGGATGGGAGGCTCCCCAAGGGGCTGATGAAGGTGCCCCGGCTGATGTGAGGGTCACTGAGCTTCCTCTGTATGGGAAGGATCTCCCCGTTGTGGGTGACGTCCGAGTTGGTTCGCCGGAGCGGCCCGTAGCGATCCCTCACCTCGAAGTACTCATCTGAGATGGAGGAGGCGTTGGAGCGGCGGTAGCTGTGGTCAGCAGAGCTGCTGGAGTAGCTCTCCTGGTCACTGAGAGTGATGTACTCCTCTTCCTCCTCCTCCTCCTCTTCTCCCAGCCCATTATGGGGGCAGGAAGGCCCTTTGTCCTCCTGTGGCCCGGCCACTGGGCGGTCTGGCTGGAGATGGCAGGTCTCCATAGAAGCTCTGTTGGGGTTCTCCTCTGGTTCCTGCTTTGCAGGACCTGAGTGGTCAGCTGGCGGTGGTTGTGTGCCACCCTCTAGGGCAGTGCTGCTGTCACAGGGCATAATGACTTGGGTCACAAGGACGCCAACGGGGATGGTCCTCGGCTTTGGAACTGGGGGCTTGATGTTCTCCAGTGTCTCCTCTGGTGGGTTCCAGCAGTGGCCGTTTTCCTGCTTGCTTCGTTGTCCAGCTGGTGCTTTCGATGGGGCTGATAGCGGGGACTGCAGGAGCTTCCATGGGTGTCCGTGGGATCTGTCTTTGGCAGGGGGACACCAGAGGTGGCTCTTGGTCTGAGTTTTTCTTGGTCTCCATCTCCCTGTTCTTCAACATCTGCCGGCGCTGGGTGCTGCCCTGGGAGACATCGCAGACTTTGATGCGGTTCATCTGCGAGAGCTTCACATTCTTTATCTTGGGGTCAATAATGTTGATGTAGCCCAAGACTTCGCTCCCAGGCTCGGGGTCAGGCTCGACCCAGGTGGGCAGATAGTCAAACATGTTGGCTTTCTCCAGATTCAGGAGGCCAGGGTGGATGAGCAAGGAGAGGTCTGCCACGTCGCCGTGCCTATCGCCCGCCTGGCCCTCGGGCAGGGCTTTGCCTTTGTTGTCTGTCTTCTGGTTTTTGTCCTGGTTCTCAGATGAAGTCTTACTGATCTGGTCGGCGCTCTTGGCCTTCACCAGGGCGTATTTCGGGTTTATCAGCTTCTTCACCACGGCGTTGGCGGGGGTCACCGGCACAACGGAGGGCAGCGTTACGGGCTCAGGCTCAGGCTCTTCACCCATGGAGATGGACTTGAGGCTCACCCCCTTGGACATGAGGTAGAGCTCCTGGAACTGCTTGTCAAACGCCTCCACCACTTGGCCCGAGAGGACCGTGATGACGTTTCGGTCCGTCCTTGCCGCGGACCACGTGAAGCTGGAACAGAAACATATTGGAAACTCTCTGAGTGCTTGCTGGTAAACAACACGCCTCTCCCCAACCCTGGTTTTCCCTGGGGGATGGATGGTGCTAGCAGGGACACGATCTCACTGCAAACATTAATAAGAACGAGATCGAAGAACTAGCTCTCATTCCGAATTAGGACGAAGGGTTGAGCGCACTGGAATTTAAAGGAAAAATGAAAGGTTTTTGCTGTGGGCTGGTTAGTTTTTTGCTTCAGTCTTGGCTGCTTTTCCTTTCTCCGTTTGGGTTAGTTGAGAAAAGCAACTCGTAAATTGATACTTTTTTTGTTGCGGCCGGAAAGTAGGAAATGTTTCAGTTCCATGTTTATGAAACTTGACTTTTAGAGCTTAAAAGCTTACCGAGACTGATCTGTTTCTGCCAAAGTAAGTTTTCATTTGGACGAATCAGAAAATACTTTGGGTAGGAGATGTTTAACTGGAAATCTGAGATCAGTGTGAGAGCTAGGACTGGCTGCCGTTTGGTGCTTTTGTCCTTCCTTGTGCTCGTCACATCCATTGGCAGGAGCACTTGGCGTGTCCCACCACCTCCAAGGAGGATGAGTATCCTAGACCTGGCTGTGGGATGGTGGGGACTCCTGGGGTCCCACTCCAAGTCTCAGGCTGACCTCGCAAAATCATCTCCCAGTTTAGGAGGAGAGGAGCAAGTCTGGAATGGGGTCCTGGGGCCATGCTGGGCAAGGACCAAGACTTGGACCACATTGAGTCCGCGTTGGTCCTTTGACCAATGCCTCCATGGGGTGGGCAAGAGGAGATGCTGCTGATTACCTGTAGGATCCGCACATGGCCCGGTCCCCGTCCACAAACATGAACTTCTGGGCCAACGCCCCTTTGAACTTGGTGGCCGAGCGCGTGAAAAACTCTGTCCCACCCGTGCTCCGGACTCGCAGGTTCTGCAAAGCAAAGGCAGAGGCGTGAGCAGGAGCAAAGGGCTGGTCTTCAGAGCATCGTTCACCCCGCGTCGCTGCCCCCCTGTGTGCTCCACAGCCCCTCCGAGGAGTGGGAAATGCTCCTCATGGCCAACTCAGAGGAGGCCTCAGCGATGGGAAGATAAAATAACTTGCCCGAGGCCGCGCAGCAAACCGTGGACTTAGCTTCAAGAATTTCCTGCTTTGCCCACGTTTCAGGCGGCATTTTCTACCTCTTGAACTCGGCGCTGCGTGCGCCCGTGGGTGAGCAGCGTGTGATCGTGCTGCCAAACCCTTTCCATCTGCCATCTATGCAAATGCCACCATGGGAGAGGTGATTCTTCTCCTCCTCCCCAGCGGGAGATGTACGAGGGGTTTTAGGGGGAGCTGGTGACCCAGGACAGCGCACATGGACAAGATGGCCATAGGCTTGTCCTCCACCATGCTCCCCCTTGTCGTGCTCCTAAATCTGAGCATCTAGCCCTGGTTTTAGGGGTGGGTAAGGAAAAAAAGACAGAGGGGCAACATCTTTTCAGATGTTTTTCATTTCGGGAAATGAAACTCGAGGACGTGGGCCAAAAGGGCATGTCCCACAGCAGGTCCTTGTGGAGGTGGCTGGGGAACGGGATGTCCTCCCCCTGGGGAGCTCAGGCACGGGGGGGGTAGCCCTGGCTCCGAGAAACTGGTTTTTATCTTCCATCTGGCTCGTGCCTCTGTGCATCTCCGTGGAGGGCACCGGCACATTTTTGCAGCTGAGCCGATAGCATCTTCAACTGCAACCGGTCTCCCTTGGGTGGGGAGAAAATATTTTCTTATGAAAACACCTGCATTCCTCCTGCTCCTGCCGGGACGGTGGTCATGCCGTTGCCGAAGGCACCGTGGCGTCACTAGGTCACGGCCTCCGTGGCTGTTTTTTTGTGGTGTGGTTGTTTTTTTTTGTAAAAAAAGTACCAGAAGCATTTGTCTCTCCCACCTCCAGCCTTTCTCATCTGCTTCCCTGGGGTCTCCTCTCTCCCTGTAGACCGTGACCTGGCACAGCCTGAAGTCCGGGTGCTGCTGCTGCGTGCCAGGCAGGAGGGATGGCGATTAAAGCCGGTTCCAGGGTGGCACAAAGCAGAAACTTTCCTGACCAGGTTTCCAGGGAAGTTTTACGCACTGAGTCGAAAACTTTGGGGTGTTTTTTTGGTGCGTTTGATTTTTTTGTTTTCCTAGTGTTCACCTTTTTTCCTTGCGTGGCTGGGGGGCAACCGGTGCTGAGCACCCCAGTGTCTGGCAGTGGGCAGCGCTAGGGGTGCGGGGGGCTGGCTGGAAAGCAGGTTGGGTGGCAATTCCCATCCCTGTCCCATGTTGTCCCTACACATGGGACCACCGAGAGAGCAGTAGCTCGCGGGGTGCACATCAGCCGGGTGCTGGGTAACGCTTGCACCCAAGGCCGAGCCCAGTGCCCATCGCCAACCCGGATGTCCCCAGCTCGTGGCTCTCCCAGGACACGGATCTGTCCTGCTCGGAGCTGAACCTTTGCACAAAAAGGCACAAAGCAGCCGTGGGTTTTCCTCCAGTAACCCCCAGAGGAACAAAGCTCCCCAGAAGCGCGATGCTGGTTACCGTTCCCTCCCTCCTGGCTCCCGGCGCATCCCTGCTGTTGAGATCTGTTTATTTAATCTCTCCCGAGCAAGACGAGGGCGCAGCGAGCGAGCGCCCAGC